CACGAACTGCCTTCGGGACTCCAACTTTGTTCAATTAATACAACACTGAGAGTAGGAATGGTTCTGTTTTTAGACTACAGTCCCAGAAACCTCTAGCCAGCATAGCAACCTACCTGGAACTTACTGGAATCCATAACACTTTTCAGCTTCCTGTCACTGCCACTATTCCGTGTCATGATTCCTACACAGCCACCGAAATTTGGTGGCGACTGTGGCCATTCTCTACGATGCATCAGATGCCATCACATACCACTGAGTTTGCCAGCCTGAACGACAGAGTTTCTCCTTCTTTAGGGGTGGCAGCAGCCACAGAAATAGTGGGCAAGGTGGCACACAGCTCAAGAACTTTCTGTGACCTCAGCCCATCAATCACTAAACACAGGGATACTTAACCTTTGCAAATTACAGAAGAAACTGGACTGCATCCTCACCATCCATACCAACATGTGGGGTGGAATATTGCAATCCATTTACTTTTGTACTTCTCTAAATATGGCCATGTGGCGCTCAGCTCAAAAATACCAAAAAAGGTGTGTTTTTTTAAACGCCTTTTTTTTGGGGGGGGGAGATGCTGAAGTACATCTTTAAATAAGTTTAAGGATAGGTTTTTGGCAGACTTTAAAAAAAATCCACACAATAATGTGGGAACAGGCTGGACATGAAGAAATGACATGAACCAGAAATAGACTGACCCAACCATCCCTAATGTAGGCACAGAACTTGGAACCTTCTGCTTGGCAATGAAGAACACTTGCTGTGTGCGTAGGTGGGGGAACTGAAGTACTCACATGTGATACTTCTCTTAATAAATTACACTACACAAATGAAGTGAGCCGCAGTCCATGAAAGTTTATGATGATTAAAACTTGTTAGCCTTTAAGATGCCACAAGGCTGCTTCCCCCAACCCCCACCCCCCGCAACAGATTAACATGCCTAGCTCCCAGCACTCTGGAACTATTAAACTTGGATGGCAAAGGGAAAAAAATCTAGTTATCCGTGTTGATAACAACTAGGTAACAAATAGCTGTGGTTTAGGTGCCTGGCTGCAGAGCCAGAGGTTGGGAGTTGCCATTCCTCACTGGGACACTATGAGTACAGCCATGATCTACACGATGTTTTAAATGGAGTTTTTTCACTTTGCGAAGATAGGTTCCCTGCTTCAGGAACCGATTCTTCACATTACGATGATCAAAACAGCTCATTGTTGGGTTTTCAAAATGACTGCCGGGTGCTCAAAATGGCTCCCCACTGTGTTTTTGGACAGATTCCTCGCTCTATAGGCACTGAAAATGGCCGTCCCTATGGAGGATCTTCGCTGGACGGTGAGTTTTCAGCCCAATGGAACGCATTGAACGGGTTTCAATGCATTTCAATGGGCTTTTTATTTCGCTTTACAAAGTTTTCGCTCTACAGCGATTTCACTGGAATGAATTAACGTTGTTAAGCGAGGCACCACTGTATTATTATTAAGTAACAAATGAATAGGGCTCTTCTATATTCCACTGCCTTCTGATTCCCATAACCATGCATATAAACTGATGGCTTGAATACAGTACACCGTGCAGCAGAAGTGGATTCTATTCTGTGCAAGGTCATGTCAAGACTCGGTTTCACTTTTTGGGGGGTTGTTGTTACACAGAACGAGCAAGCGTTGGAACAACATAGATATCAGCTTGGAACTTCTGAATTCTGAAGAAAGCGAAAAAAGGTTGGAAGCTTTAAAACTTTTTTTTAAGGTACAAACAAAGATACAACAAAGATGCACAAAATCATGCATGCCATGGAGATTCACAGTAGACAAAAGGAAATATTTTCTTACGTTAAGTTCATAGTTCAGCTATGTAATTTGCTTCCAAAAGACTTGTTACACTTGGATCAAGATGGTGTTAAACTCAGATGAGGCTGAAATTGGATTAGACAAATGCACGGTAACTATATATTACTTCCAGTGTTGGAGACCATGTGCCCATCAATATTACCACTTGCCCCTTTAATTTTTATCTCATGGTCTAATTCAGCCTTCTCCAATGTGGCAGCTTCCACGCAGGCTAGGCTATATAATTTCTCAATCACTAGTAGGTGATGACGGAAACTGCATTCCAAACCTTTTGTGCTAGAGCCTTATTGGATTTCACTATATGCATAAAAGAAACTGGGGAAGCTGCAGCACCTTAATTTTGTTTCTGCCCATGAAAAGAGTCAATAAGCCCTATCCTTAAAGGGCACAAGTGTGGGAAATACTCCTTTAAATCATCCTGTTCAGTTCTTACCTGCCTTTGCTTTTAGCCAAAATATATTTGTGCAGAACCAATTGACAGTAATACACGTTTACATCATCACAATACCTATTATTTACATGTTTTATACACCACTACATATTCATTATTGCTGTACAATCACCCAAACAGTTAAAATTATTAGTAGGCTACCAAAAAAGGCCTGGTTTTTTCTTTATTGTTGATCCTAATTTCACTTATATAGTAAGATATGTTGCAGGATAACATCCCTATTAAATTAAGGTTGATAAGTACTTGAGCCAAATAAATAATGCAACAAAATTCAAACTAAAAACATAACTTGGGAAAAGTGAGAACAGCAGCCTGAAGAGTTTGAACTGTTTTCAGTTGTCCTCCCTTAATGTTTCTTATGCTTTGGATCCTAACTTTACATACAGTGAACGGAAGGAGCTTTTGTTCACAGGATACAACTTTGATGTGCTGCTGCTCCTCCCACTTCATTGAGATGGTTAATTCAAGTGTAGCTTATTTTTAATTGGCTTATTTACAAATTACTTTAAGATTTTTTTCATTTTTTGTTAGCTTCTTTGAACAAGTTCTGAACCAGAGCTCAAGGTATATATTTAAAACAAGAATAAATGATATATAACTTCTGGTGTAAGGAGAAGATTATGGAAGCGATTTTTTTGGGGACCCAATTTTTTGGCAATGGGCAAAATCCTACTGGCCGTTACAACACTGTAAACCAGATCTGGGTTTCAGAAACATTTTATATTAATTTAATGTAGAGATGGGCATGAAGCGCTTCATTGCACTTCATCAAAATTTGTATGCGCTGTACTTCTGGTACTGTGTATTACCTCTCCCCCCTCCCCCCCGCAGCTTGGCTGCCCCACTCCTAATGTACCATGCACCACCTGGGCCCTTCTTTTCAGGCAGCCAACCACTTAGACAAGGAAGCAGGACAGGGATTTTTGCTGCCCAACTGTTGAATGGTCAGCTGCCGAAGGAGGCAGGGAAGGGAAGCCTGAGCACCTGCCCAGACTGTACATCTGGCCAAGGAAGACCTGGGTGGCGTGTGGCAGATTGTGAGTGGGGCAACTTGCTGGGGGAGGTAACAAGTACAAATTTTAATGAAGCATGACCAAGTGCTTCATGTCCATCTCTAATTTAAAGCTTCTTATCCTGTCCACTTTCAGCTTCTGAGGCTCCCTAGGGCTCCCTTTTGCCCTGTGGAAGCCTTTGGTAGCCTTGGGACAACGTGGGAAGGGAGGGGACTTTAAAAGTCAACATCACAGCTGGATATTCAATGGCAATCCCAATCCTAATGTTAGTGATCC